CATGTTTTGAATAACTCCACTCAACACCAAAGTAATGATTCACATAGACTCATCTTGAGTTCTTTTACGGCACCATGATACTCGATAGACAAGAACGGGAATACCAACTAAATCGAACACATGAATTAGGGTGATGTTTTAGAATTAATGTTTCATTCCCTCCGGATGCCCTAATCAGCCACATCCCCGCCCATGGAATTTTGACACATCGGCTACTGGTCAATCCTCTCGATCCTCTGTTGTATCCCAGTAATCGGACATCCTCGGGAATTACATTGAGTCCTTGATAATATTGCAATTTTGCTTGAAACTTCGCAGCTATTAATTACATGTTCATAGCATTGTGGTTGTTTGATTGGTCCATTCATTTCTCATGTGTTGGTTTCATCAGGTAGCCAACAATTAGGACGTGGTCTTACTACGATGCATCCGGTAATTCTTGACTGTCAGATTTCCAGCCGGCTGGTTTGTGTTGCATGCCGATAACATAATGTAATTTGCGTAATGATAGCACCCTTATGTAGTACGTACGTCTTTATGTAAAATATGGTTCTCCCTAACATTTGGTGGTGGTACTCCTAAGCATTTATGTTGAAGTACCAAATGATCTTATCCATTGGATGAAGTAGAACTAATGAAGGACCCATATGGATATAAGGGCGCCATATCTTCTCCACGGTGCCTCGACTCAAATTCTCAGCTGAAGTGGAGCCAGAGGCATGAATAAAGAATTTATATAGTGCAGTTGATGCTCAGTCAAAATAACAAAACAAGCCAGTTTTGATAGTCTAGTTGTACGATATGAGGAAAAAGAGAGCAAGTCCGTAGAGATAACATGTGCCCGACTTGATTTCTACCAGAAGTGGTACCCTTCCTTTTCTAACATAAATGTATTAGAAAAATAACTACACATTCATAACAAATGGTCCCTTCATATGGCGCACTAACATTATAAATAAATAGTGGGGCAGGTGGTGGCCAATGCCAACCATTGTTCGCATCACAAATACAATCACAAATCACACATGACCTTTGTAGCAGATCAACATAAAAACTCGTAGCATAAGTAAAATTGATGCTTGTCCCGCCGTCTCTCTTGCAAAGTTGCTAAAGTTAACTTTAGCTGGATATATGTAAGCGAACGATGCTAGATTTCATAGAAATGAGATGTGTTGGGAATGGAAGTATATCTTTCCGCAACCCTAGGATGGCTTGCTTACCACCACGGCAATGTACTTCTTTGTCAGCCGGAAGACAAGTACTGCTGTGTACTATCTGTGGAGAACAAGCTGCGATTTGAAAGCATATTGCATCAAGGCTTCACATATTTGTGGCTCCAGCAACTGAGGAGTCGAGCTTCCCCGGCATCCAAAGTAACGATGTTTTTTCTCAAATTGTCATCTCTAAGGCCCCTGTAGGAGAACCTGATCCAAACTGGAACATTTTGTTGTTTATAAATTTAAATGTTTTTGGATCTGTCTTGTTGTCGTCTCATGATGGTTGTACTCTTTGGTATTGTTCAGTGTGGACCGAGTTTGTTGCAACTTACAGTTTTATATGATGACCATCTGGTTTCTCAAAAAAAATGGAACATTTTGCCACAAAATAATAAAAATAAAAAGTCAACTACGGAGTACATGCCATGGTGGTTGTACTCTTAATTTGGTATTGTCCAGCGAGTTTGTTATAACTTACGGTTCTATATGGTGAACACGTGGTTTAAAAGAAGCTGGAACTCTTGACAATTTTGTTTTCTTCGAACTTTGCAGTTATTAAGTACATGTTCATAGCATTGCGGTTGTTTGATTTGTTCATCTCCCTTGTGATGGTTTCATCAGGCATGCAACAATTACATATTCTTTTTTTTTTGCGAGAATGATAGCTGGCTGGTTTGTGTTGCATGTTGATAACATAGTGTAATTATCAGAATGATAGCGCCCTTACGTAGTACGTACCTCGTTAATTGCCGCCTAGAATGCACTATTTTTCTTTAAAACATGGCTCTGCCTAACATTTGGTTTGGTGGTGGTATTCCTAATCATAAACATTGAAGTAGCAACTGATCTTACCCATCAGATTAAATAGAACAAATGAAGGACCCATATATTGATTCAAAGGCACCATAGCTTCTCCCCGGTACCTCGACTCAAATTCTTAGTGGAAGTGGAGCGGGAGGCATTAAGCCAGAAATTATACTATGCTGTCAATGCTCACCAGTTTTTACAATCTAGTTGATGCAGTACGAGAAGAAAAGAAAAAAAGAGCAACTGCCGCAGAGATAACATGTGCCTGAATAGATTTCTAACAGAAGTCATACCCGTCCATCACCAACACTAGATGATACCCCGCACGTTGTTGCGGGAATATTTTATAACATATCTCAATGTGATTCATTGTATAAAACATATATAAATGGATAAAACTGAAACTACATATAATTTATTATGTTTGATCACTATATAGTTGTAATTCTTTTATTAAATATAAATAGAATAATAAAATAGAAATTTGCATGTTGAGATAGGTCTTTTTTCATGCAGGTTTCATGATGAAGTGGCATGCTTGCATGTTGCGAGACATATGATAGTGAGTGTGAGCCTTTTCTCGTGCATGTTGTGCGATGATGTGGCATGCTTGCATGTTGAGGGAAATAGTTAGTGGGGGCTAGCTATTTAGATATAGAAGATAAATGCATAAGAAAGATAGCTTGGTGCATTGATAACATAGGGTCCCATCCCTTTGTATGCACACTGGCATTATAAATAGTGGGGCAGTAGGTGGCCAATGCCACCACTGTTCGCGCCGCGGATACCATCACAAACCACACAGGGCCTTTTCGTAGCAGATCAATATTAAAACTCATAGCATAAGTTAAATCGATGCTTGGCCTGCCGGCATAGGTGCTAAGGTTAACTTTAGCCAGGTATATATGTAAGGGGGACGATGCTAGATTTTCGTAGGGATGAGATGCATTGGGAATGGAAGTATAGCTTTCGGCTATCATCGGACGGCCTGCTCACGTGGGTGATGTACATCGTCTTGGTCGCCCGCAAGACAAGCACCGCCATGTCGTACTCCCTGGTGAGATGAAGGCGCCACTTGAAAGCACATTACATCAAGTCTTCACATCCCGACAGCCATTACAAAGAAATATAGGGAAAAGATGTCAAACAAATCGACCACGCTGTAGGAGAAGAGTGTCGTGCCATGATGGTTGTACTCTTTGGTATTGTCCAGTGTAGACAGTCCAGCGAGTTTGTTATAACTTATGGTTCTATATGGTGAACATGTGGTTTAAAAAAAAGCTGGAACTCATGATAATCTTGTTTTCTTCAAACTTTGCAGTTATTAATTACATGTTCATAGCATTGCGTTTGTTTGATTTGTTCATCTCTCTTGTGATGGTTTCATCAGGTATGCAACAATTACATATTCATTTTTTGCGAGAATGATAGCTGGCTGGTTTGTGTTGCATGTTGATAACAAAGTGTAATTATCAGAATGATAGTGCCCTTACGTAGTACGTACCTCGTTAATTGCCACCTAGAATGCATTATTTTTCTTAAAACATGGCTCTGCCTAACATTTGGTTTAGAGGTGGTATTCCTAATCATAAACAGTGAAGTAGCAACTGATCTTGCCCATCAGATTAAATAGAACAAATGAAGGACCCATATATTGATTCAAAGGCACCATAGCTTCTCCTCGATAGCTCGACTCAAATTCTTAGTGGAAGTGGAGCGGGAGGCATTAAGGGAGAAATTATACTATGCCGTCGATGCTCACCAGTTTTTACACATAGGTCCTTTTCGTAGCAGATCAACATTAAAACTCATAGCATAAGTTAAATCAATGCTTGGTCTGCCGGCATAGGTGCTAAGGTTAACTTTAGCCAGGTATATATGTAAAGGGGGCGATGCTAGTTTTTCGTAGGAATGAGATGCATTGGGATAGCTTTCGGCTGCCATCGGACGGCTTGCTCACGAGGGTGATGTACATCGTCTTGGTCGCCCGCAAGACAAGTACCGCCATGCCATACCTGGTGAGATGAAGGCGCCACTTGAAAGCACACTACATCAAGTCTTCACACCCCGTCAGCCATTATTACAGAGAAAGGGAAAAAATGTCAAAATAATAAACTAGAAAACATATGCTTGGCCTGCCGGCATAGGTGCTAAGGTTAACTTTAGCCAGGTATATATGTAAAGGGGGCGATGCTAGTTTTTCATAGGAATGAGATGCATTGGGATAGCTTTCGGCTGCCATCGGACGGCTTGCTCACGAGGGTGATGTACATCGTCTTGGTCGCCCGCAAGACAAGTACCGCCATGCCATACCTGGTGAGATGAAGGCGCCACTTGAAAGCACACTACATCAAGGCGTCATTATTACAGAGAAAGGGAAAAAATATCAAAATAATAAACTAAAAAACATGCCGACCACGCTGGGACTCGAACCCAGAATCTCCCGCTCCGGAGGCGAGCGCCTTATCCATTAGGCCACGCGGTCATCTTGCTGAGACTTCCCAGCACAGCTTACATGTACCTTGTGAGTACTAATCTTTTTAAACACTAACCTTAAATTAATACCGCCGGAATTACTAGATTTCGACCAGTATTGGTTTGGGTTCTTGGAGTAGTAATAATTCAAGACCATCGATTCAAAGAAAAATCACACAAAGGTAGTACTCCCATTACAACGTTTTTCTATGCCGAAGCAACTGCAAATTAATTCCAGTAAATTTAAATCCCATTACAGTTCGCCAACCATACCTCAAAATTCCAGTGAACAGAAAACTCCTATTGATGAACACCTAAAAAGAGAATTACTCTACTATTGTACGCTTGCTGTTTATATCCTATTAGAAGCAAAGCTACAGCATGCTGCAACTCAGGCAAGATCCATTCCATGCTAAGGCAAGGCAACAGTACAATCATCACTTTATCGGAAAACAGTACAGTCATCAGTTGGCAAAGAAAGTAAACTACGTAGCCACGTGGCTATTCCTTCTTGGCGGCAATCTTGGTCCTGGGCCCCGCCGGCGCCGAGAAGAGTGGGGTGTGACTGTGGTGCCTGATCACCATGATCATCACGAAGGTGTTGGCGGCCAGGAACACGAGGCCCGCGGCCCAGAGCTGCACGAACACGTTCCGCCCCTTGAACTCCAGCAGGTAGGCCCACATCAGCCAATGCAGCTGGGACCCCATCCACACCAGCGTGCAGACCAGGCCCTTCCACTTCAGCTTCATGCCGGTCCAGGGGAGGATGAGGGGCAGCAGGCAGAAGAACCACACGAAGTACTGCGCTGTCATCACCTGCTCGTCGACAGAGTAGCAACTGTTAGTATTTCAGGTTACCGTAGTCGTTTCACACAAACAGAAAAAAGTTTCAGATGCCTCACCTTGTTGAAAGCCACAAATGCGACTGTCTGGAGGAACATGCAAAACGGAAGGTCCCTGGAGAAGCGTATGATGAGCGCCAACTGCACGATCAGCTGCGGCAGGAACGAAGCCAGCCTCTGTATGCTTGAGAACCCTTGCTGATGGTGCAGATATATGTGATAGAAGTAAATCGAGAAATTGTGCCTTGGATCAGTCCGTGTGAGGTGGTAAAGGAGTGCTTCATTTAGAAACTCCCACCCGTATAGATAGAAGAAGATGCCAGTCCAAGCAAAGAACATAGATCCAGACAACAACCCAAACAGGATAGTATCTCTTGTAACGAGGCTACTGAGAAAATTCCATAGAGTCGCCAAGAGTGATGTCGGTTCTTCCAAATTTTCCCTGGCTTTATTGCTTTGTAACTGCTGTTTTGAACTCCACTGTGTAAGGACAGGTCTACCAGCAGGACCGGCATAATTCTTGCCAAGAACAATAACAAAGGGGATTGCATATATAATTGGGTATATTCTGAAGTGCACAATCAGCCCATACCAGAATGCTGCTTGCAGTACTCTACCTGCAGTAGATAATCAAACTGTAAGATAGCCATGCAAAATATTTATGCAATAACTCTATGTTTTTAATCTTCTAACTACATGTGACTGAAAATATTACTAAATTGTCCATACTTATGATCCAAGTAAGCAACAGAATAAATGATCTGCAAGTCATTTGGGAAGTTGCAAGCAAGCGAAGCATTTGCCTGACAACTTTCACTTCACAAACTAGATTATGAAGCTGAATGTCTGTCTAAACGCATTGAGTAAAGCAAGTGAAGAAACAGGACAAAAGAAACGCATTGAGTAAACGCATTAAGACATTAATCAAAAGGAAACCTGAATTCTGAAGCAAAGGTACTTTAGCTGTTGAGCACCAAGTACTAATGACTTTCAAGGAGAAATATCGGACAGGTACAGAGGAGACTAGAACTATGTATAAGAAGCAAATTATTTGGTATACGTGGTTTTGCAAAAGTGATAGAAATCTAGTACGATTTTCTTGGATTATGGGTACACCTTCCTTCTTCTGAGAGGTTAACATCAGTATTTCATTGCATAAGCAACACCCAACTTTGTAAAATATACTCTGCCAAATTTTTGTTTGTAAATCCATTGGTCCAATAGGTTAAACCCCCTTAAATAACAGGTTAAATTCCACTACTTCACAAAAATAAGCTAAACCAACAGAGAGACGATTGATTGGTGAACAAAACATAAGAAAAGACAGAGTAAACATAAACTAAATTTGCAGAACATCATCGCAACTTTCAGACCAATTATATCCCTACTCAAATTCGAAGAGAAATATTCCTAGTTTTGACATGTAAGAATCAGCAGATCAATACAGCTGCAAAATATTCTGAGCTAGTTCATAAAGGTAGCAGCTATCACTGAACAGACATAAAAAAAAAAGGATTCAGAGCTTACACCCTTCATCAAGCAGATGAGGATCCAGAGCATGGCGGCGCAGACGATGGGCTCGCAGTTCCCTCTGGTGCCGATGGTGGAGGTGAAGGGGTTGAACAGCCAGGCCACCACGCACCAGATCCGCGTCTTCGCCTGGACGCCCCGCAGCTCGAGAATGGTGTCGATGAACAACCCAACGAGCAAATCTGCACCGCAAAAATATCAACATCGCAAGGAATTCGACCGCAACTGCAGGCAGCGTGTGGGCGAGCGGTGGCAGGGGCTACCTGCGGCGGAGAAGAGGAGCTTGCCCCAGGCGGGGTGGAGGAGGGAGTTGGGGAGGAGGAGGAAGGCGAGGAGCGGGGAGTAGCGGTAGGTGGCGCGCGCGAACGGGGAGCCCCCGGCGGCGACGGAGGCCGCCGCGTCGGAGAAGACGAGGTAGTCCACGTCCGTGTAGCGCACCTCGAGGTGCGCGTCCTGCCACTCCCCGTACGCCACCAGCGCCAGCCGCAGCGCCGCCGACGCCGCCAGCACCCGCCACCGCACCGTCGCCATCGCAGATTTCGCGGCCCGGGCAGCTTGGTAATTTGGCATCCTTCGGCCGCGCGTGGAGGAGGATCCCAGCCGTCGGATCGCCAACGGACGGTTGTGATCGCACTTAATGCAGCGGGTGCGGGATGCGGGATGTGGGCCTTGGTCGCGTCACATCCCCAAGCGAGCAGGAGGATTCCACCCACCTTTCTTTTCATCCTCCATTCGCCGCCGAGCGCCACCATGGCGTCGCCGCCGACCGCCGCCGCCGCGCTCCGGCGCCCGGGCGCCCACGTGGGCCGCGTCCCCGTCCCGCGCCACTCCGGCGCCCCCTGCCTCCGCGCCGCCCTCCCGTTCAGGTAATTCCACGGCCTGGATGGCTGGATCTTTCCTCTTCCTCTTTGCGTCTTGTAGTTCTTGGAAGCCTCCGTTCTGCTTTGATGTGGATGGTCGAATTGCGCTCGTGGAGGACCGCCGATCGCGGCTCGTTTTGGTGGAATGGATTGTCGATTCGCCGGCGCCCGGGTGGATTCCTTGCTTGCTTCACTGACTGTATTGTTGACAATTAGTATTAATCAGGGTAACTGTGCACCGACACCTGAAAAAAGGTGAAACCATTTGTAATGCGATTAAGTTAATTGTGCGGCGTAGCCTGCTGTTATGCCTTTCGTTGAATTGAATTTGTTTTTTTATCAAATGAGGTATGGTGGTAATACCTTGCACATGTTCTTGCTTAGGCAGGTTAGGCGTGCTGTCGTCGAGGAAGTGCCGTGCGGTCGTGTCGGCCACAAGGAGACCTGGTTTGGGCAATGCAGGGAACCTGCGCGAGGTGCGGTCTTGCAAGGACGCTGGGATCCTGATGTAGCTTAGTCGAATTGTTGCCATGCCACCACGGAGTTTGCACTGATGAATGGTGTTTTGTTTTCATCGCGCTGCAGGGTTCGAACGTGGCTAAGAACTGGGATTTGGGCAGACAGATTGGCGATGAGCACGGTGTTCTTATAGAATGCAGGGATGTGCACAAGTCCTTTGGGGACAAGCATGTACTGCAAGGCGTCAGCTTCAAGGTGAGTCCTTGTAGGGGCCTGTACATTTTTCGACTCCTTACTGATTGTTTTGGTTCAGTGCTCATTGGGCATTATTTCAAACCAACTATTCGTTGTAGGGTGCTTAGGGCATCTCCAACGCTGTTCCCTAAAACAGACATTGTATTTGTCCGCGGACTGGTCTGGACCAGTTTGCGGACACTGATGCAGGACCCGGCCATCCAATCCTGTCCCCTAAATGTCTGCCTTTGTTTTTCTTTTCTCATAAAATCCGCAACACTCAAAATAATTATAGAAAATAGCATAATTCATCCATGAATAACATGCGAATATCCCTAGGACAACAATAGTTCAAATGGAAATATTACATCCGAGATAATTGGATGTTTAACAAGTTTTTTTGGATTCAACGATACTTGAGTGTCGAGTCAGAATCGACATAGGTCGTCCTACACATACTGCCCCTTGAGCTTCATCCAACAATGTATGTGCGTGAATGGCCTGCCCTCGGTCCTGTAGTACAAGATGGCAGCACTATACAACTTGTAGAGCAACATTGAGTAAATGAATGAATTAGCCAACATGAAGAACAACAAGAAGCAAAACTTACAATCTCGATGGTTGACGAGCCCAATGGCCACATTGTCTCCACTTGGTGAACCACAACACAAAACTTCATGACGGAGCTGCAGATGGTGTACCGTCGATGCGATAGCGACTTCACATTGTGTTCATGGATGATGTGCATGTCATAGGGCTCGAAGTTCTTTTTTCCTCATGAAATGAAGCATGCACCCGCTGCCAAAAGGTCTAACCCCTTTGCCTCATGCCTACAAAGTCTGCACATACGACCAACCAGGCATCACACAACAATCCCCCCTCGATCACCGAGTACCCCACCATCGAATTACTCTAGAAAACAACAAAATGTTCAAAAAGAAAAAAAGCTCAGTGGCATTTGACCGAACACCTGCTAGGCGTGATGTCCGCCATGGACGGCATCAGCAAGGGGGCGGAGGGTACCTGGCTGCGGAGGGATCCTGGTTTGCATTTACAAGAACAGAGCTAATGAGACATGCAGTACATAGATGTTTTGCGACAAACTGAACCACAAAACAAGGAATGCATTAATCAATAGATATTGATTGAAAACACAGAACATAGGTTGAGGTATCAGAAGTAACTACATCATAACAGGATAAGAAATTCAGATAAGAAACATAACTGTAACAAAACAGAGCCAGAGCAGATTCATTCTTGCACCACTTGTCGGAATGCATTGGCAAGTGTATGCATCATACTGTAATTTACCCATCCCTATGTATGGCTAGTGCACCACAAATTAAGGCTCAAGCAATGGTAGGTAGAAAACACATCTATAGCCAGCATTGATCACCAGTGGAATCCAAAAGATTAGATAAGATAATAGAGCCAGAGACAGCAACAAAGTGGGAAACAATAGTTATCGATCTTTGCATAGTAATGTGATTTAGCTACAGTGGTAGATAGAAAAACAATTCATCCTCACATAGCTACAATTTACTGGCGCAATAGTAGTAAACCTAATAAGATTAGATGCTCCCAGGTTATTCATATACAGTAAAGCACATCAGACCACAAGAACATGGATCGCAAATTAACCCTAACCTATAAGGAAATTATGTATGGCCGGCCGCTGTG